TCTCTCTCTCTCTCTCTCTCTCTCTCTCTCTCTCTCTTTTGTTCAGGTTTATGTGGTTATTGTGATTTGGAATGGTTTTAACCTGACCATGGAAGTTTTAGTTCCTGTTTTGTGTATACTGTGATCCTCTGAGAGTCATTTTGATTGTGTCAGGGTAGAAGTTTGTGGAATAAATTGAATAAGTAAAGCTTTCTCACAGTGTTACTATTGTGGGGGGAAATGGAAGAAGGAATACTACATAGATCACCATGAGCTCCTGAAGGACAGGATATAAATGTAACAGATAAGTTGAACTGTGAAAACCTGGGTGTATCCCCTTAGAAGCAAGCACTGGGTTCAGAAGTATTAGTTCCAAGTAAATCTGTATTTACTGTATTACTGCTTATAGGCCTTTTAAAAACCTTACAAAGCCTGAAGCATTAAAGGAGATAACTCATGTCATACCACTGTATATAGGTAAGTACGTCCCTCAGCAACCTGGAAGATGCTTCTCTTGGGTGCCTTGTTGACCATGGGAATACAGAGGCAACTAGAGTGCTGCTGAAGAGTGGGAAAAATGGACAGGATCTTTCCAATGACACACACAGTTCCTCTCTATTTACAGTGGCATTTATCAGATACAGTAGCATTAGCTTAACAAATGATACATATACAATTCTTTGGTACACAGTTCCATCAGTCTCCCCCCCCCACCCAAAAAAACCCCTCCCAGAATCTCCAGTAATCTTCTTCTCCAATAATCTTCTTCACCATTACTTCATGTTTCTGCTCTTTTTAGATTTATGGCTACAAGGTAGATGTATCTGCATCCAGGTGTTTTAATTAGGCATGAAGTTCCTCAGTGTCTAAATGATGCTGAGCCTGATTTTGGCCCACATAACTGAAAAAAAGGCTTTAACCTTGAGACCATTGCATTATGCCAAGTCCACCAGGGCAAATCATGCTGCTACACATGAGCAACATGTTTGCTCTTGAGCACCCTCTTCTTGCCTGCAGATCCCATGCAACTCCTTGGTTTGCTGAGAAGCTCCATGAAATGAAGTCACTGAAGAGACAATTGGAACAACACTGGTTTAAAACAAGAAGTGAATGTGACCAAACATGAGTAAGAGGTTCAAGAATAGTATGCAATGATAAAGGTGGTAGAGCCCTGACTGTGTCCTTGGAATGCTGGCCCGCTACATTGTTTTATTTCTGTTTAAACTTTTGGAAAGGGATGGACTGGAAGATCCAATCAGTCTAAATTGCAGTCATCTGGCCACAAATGTTGTGGATAAAATTTCTCACATTCCCTCTGAGTAGGAAGCTGGATAGATAGAATATATTGTGAAGTCCAAAGTGTGTTTTGTGGTTTTATCTGGGAAGCTTTTGAACTGGGTCTGGGCATTGGATCTAAGCTGTATTCTGTACTTCTCTGTGGGAAGGGGAGATGCTAGAGGACCTTAAAGAGGACAAATTTCCAGATGTGGGGAGCCAAAAACCCAAAGCCACTGTATCTTGCCAGGGTTGAGTCACAGCTGGTTCTTCCCCAACCAGACCCTCACAGCCTCCAGGCACTGGGTAAGCACCTGGACAGCATCACTTGCCTGGCCAGGGGAGGATAACCTCATGCCAACAAATGACCTTACCTAGTAGCTTCATGTAGAGGTTCAATAGGAGTGGCAAGAGAACCAAACCCTTCCACATAAAAGATGAGATGAGTTGGCTTCTCTGGCTCCCATGTGGGGGTCCTAAATTCCCTTTAGAATCCTTCCTGTACCTACCCCCATCTCCTGGGGAGACCCTATTTGATAAGTGTTGCTACAAACCATTCCCCCCCCCCCCCCCGGCTTTGAATTATTAGGAAGAGGTTAGGTGGTAATCTCTTTCCTGCTCTCCATCATTCTAGTTTAACTGAGCAGGGAGATGGGTGTGCTAAAGTGAAAATCATTTGAAATTGAAGGTGCTGATTCAGTAAAATTCAAGTCTTTATTAAGTATACTAAAGAACAACAGGAGAGTTGAAAGACAAAAGGAGAAAGTGGGGGGTGGGGAGAGAAAATAATAATGATTTGTAAAGGTTGAGCTCAACCTTGCTGTTCGTTCAGTCAACATGTACCACATGCAGGGAGGGAGGGAGGGAGGGAGGGAGAGAGAGAGAGAGAGAGAGAGAGAGAATGAGAACAAAGGCAAAACAAGTAGAACAAAATATAACAAATGCATCAAAGCTCAAATCCATGGTAATAAAATAAACAAAATTATAATCCAGATGTATTCTTTCCTGATTTCCAATGGGACTTCTTCCTATCTATCTCTGAGACAGCCTGGGAAGAAATGGTCTTATTTTTCCAATGAGTTAAAAGACAAAGACAAAATGGAGACTTTCTCATACTACATCATGACATTGCAGATTAAATGAATATTGGCACAGAAAAGTTGATATCTGCTACGAAATAGGATTCCAAAAGGATGTTATTGCTTATGCATTTATGGGTCTGTATGAGGAACATCATGGCTGGAAGCAAAAGATTTCACTGCTAATAACAGTGGTAAACCATCATCCAATTTTAAAATAACTTATTCTATTACATTGCCCCTGTCAGGCCTAGCCCAAGGAACTCCAAGAGACAATGCTAATTCAGTTCAGCTATGTTTATTAGCTACAAC